CGAAGCCAGGCATGGTGGCACACACCTTTAGTCCCAGCACTTGGGAGGCAGAGGCAGGCGGCAACAAGTTTGAGGCCAGCCTAGTCTACATAGTGAGTTCCAGGACAGCTGGGGCTATAGGGAGACCCTGTCTCAAAAAGACCAAAGGAAAAAAAATTTTAAAGTTTTCAGTTACAGACTTCAAATACACAAAATACAAGTCTCAGGCTCTAAAATCCTCATATAGACTTAAATTTGAAGCACTATTCCATCATGTTCAAAATCTCAACTTACCATCTAGGAAATACCCCATTTTCCAAACTTGTTGTCTGGCTGCGTCGCCAACGTCGCTGGTAGCTGCTGGCACAGCTTCGGGTAAGTGAAGAGTTTGGGGAGGGAAATGGGGTGATAAGCAAGCTGCTAAGAGATGCTGTTGAGCAGAAGATCAAGTGCAATGTGTAAGTAATGACTAAGCACAGCAGCAAGTTTCTTTGTGATACATTGACAGGTAGAAAAAAAAGTCAAAATTTTTATTTTGTTTCATGAATCTCTCTAAATTTTAAAAACACAGTTTTGGAACAAAGCCTTAGAGAAGAAGAATCACCTATTAATATGTTTTATAAAAGTCTCTCAAACAATTCCTTTTAGTACCCACATCCCAGAAAAAGAGAGCTACCTGCCTCTACCATGCCCAGCTGTGTACATTTTTATTTTATGTGTTTAGGTGTTTTGCCTGCACGTGTTTATGTATACCATGTATGTACAATGCCATGGAGGTCAGAAGAGGGCATCAGATCTCCTGAAACGGGAGTTACAAACAACTGTTAGCTGCCACGTGGGTGCTGGGAACTGAACCCAGGTCCTCTGCTACAGCAGCCAGTGGTCTTTTTGAGACAGGGTCTCCCTGTAGCCCCAGCTGTCCTGGAACTCACTATGTAGACCAGGCTGGCCTTGAACTCACAGAGATCCGACTGCCTCTGCCTCCCAAGAGCTGGGACTACAGGCATGCGCCACCACGCCCAGCAACAGACATATTTTAAGAAGAAAAAATATTTGAAAGTGTATTTGAATGGCATTTAAAACTATCATTTACAGGAGTCACGATCACACATTTTTTAAGTGTCAAAAGATAGTAGACCCTATACACTGCTCTCTGACACAATCCCTTAACTGTAGGGATTATGTTCTTCCCAAAATCCTTCTCTGAAATCTTGCTCAAGCTCTTAGGAGCCACGCCTCTATATTTTCCTTGGGCTAGAGAGCTTTATCTCCTCCCAAGTGATCTACACTGCTATTAAATACTTGTTTTTGTTTGGCAGTATTTTAATTTCCATCTTCATGATTACATTATATCCACATGCTGAAAATGTATCCTCAAGACACTGAAGTATTAATATCATCAGTGAAAAGGCGACTGACAGATGATAAAGTATTTTGGACATGAGGAATAAAAACTAAGACAGTGCCATTATAAATATTTGACAAATTCACTAACAGAAGGCAAAGCTTTATGTGCAATACAACAAATGTACTGACGAATTTGTTGTAAGTTTCTCTCTTGAAAAGACCACATTCAGTAAGTACTATAAAACTTTGAAGCCTATGACCGGTATGTATAAACTAGTCAGAGTATGACTTTTAGTAAAATATAAAATGCTACCCCGAGTTTAGAAAAATTATACTAGGAGAGGGGTGTGAAAAAATAAAAATTATACTTTACTACGTTCTAGTATTAAAATTAAGCCAGATGTGGTGGTGCATGTCTTTAATCCCAGCACTTGGAAGGAAGAGGCAGGAGGCTCTCTGTGAGACTGAGGCTAGCATGCTCTATATAGTAAGTTCCAGACCAGCTGGGGCTACAGGGAGACTGTGGCTCAAAAAGACCAAAAACAAAACAAAAACAAAAAACAAAACCTATTATGAGAAAAAAACAATTAGCTATAAGTAGCATGTGTGAATTTAATGACCTGAATCAGCTTTATAGAACATTTTTTTGAATAAATTTAAAAGCTCTCCTGTAAAACAAAGTGGTGACCATAGTAAATGGGAATGTATTCTTACTGAGTGCTGGAGAGGAAACGTTAAATTTCTCACAAAAATGGTTAACTATGTGAAGTAAATGTATGTTAGTCAGCTAGATTTAAGCCTTCCACGGTATACAAACACTTCAATGCATCATGTGTACCCGACAAATACAGTTTTATCTGTAAATCTTAAGACTTTTAAAAATAGTTCTTTTTATTATTTTTAATTATTTGTGTGTATCTCTGTGGGTTCATATGCATGTTGAGTGCAGCGGTCAGAGGCATCTGAACCTCCTGGAGCTAGAGTTATATGCAGTTGTGAGTCATTCAATGTGGGTGCTGGGAAGAGAACTCAGGTCCTCTGCCAGAGCAGTATATGCTTTTACCCACTGAGCCATCTTCCCAGTCCTTATCTGTAAATTTTAAATAAATCTGAAAAATAAATCCTGTTACAAAAGTCTAAATTCCTAGATTAAATATAAACAAAAGGTACTATGAGAAATACACTCTAGATTCTTGCTAAAAAAATAAACTCAGGGACTTCCTATGAGTAGTGGTTCTCAGTCTTAGCTCTCCCATCAGAATCAGGTGCTGAGATTTTAATTTTGTTCTCAAAGACAGAAGCCCAAGCCTTTTTCTAAACTAAATCAGTCTTTGAGAACAGAGTTCAGGCATTTAAACTGTGTCTTCCTTGAAACTTCTCCATGTTATTCTAATGCACATCTAGGGATTATAACATGACAGTTAAATTTGCCATTTACACTCAAACTGAATCGTAGACAACAGTAGAGCTAGCTATACAATGTGGCAAGGCATGCAAACAAACAGTCAGTGAGCTGATAGACTGCAAGCTCAAGATGAGGACATCTTTCACTAACGCTAGTGAGCTCCGACACACACTTTGTTTTAGCTAAAACACCTCTGCTTACATAACTCCTCTTTATTTCCTAAGACATAATTCTTTGTAAAGAACTGCCAGCACTAGCCCCTGGCTGGGGATAAAATAGGGTTTTTTTCCGCCCCCCCGCAACCTCTGCACAGGTCTATCACTAAATACACTGTACAGATGATTTTTTTCTGTTCTAACAGTATATTCTGAGCTCTGCTCTTTTTTTAAAAAAGCGTGCTTTAAAAAAAAAAATACCCAGCATGTTTCAGTAAATGTTTGCTAGATATACCAATTTTGATAAAGTCCATACTTTTAAAAAAATGTGCTGCCAGGCACGGTGGCACATGCCTTTAATCCCAGCACTCAAGAGGCAAAGGCAGGCAGATCTCTGTGAGATCAAGGCCAGCCTGGTCTATATAGTGAGTTCTAGGGAGCTGGGGCCACAGGGAGACCCTGTCTCAAAAAGACCAAAAAAAAAAAAAAAAAAAAAAAAAAAAAAAAAAGAAAGTAACATTAGTTTACAATCTGACAACTCAATTTTAGTAAGCAACAGCAGATATAAGCTAATATGGTTTGTTTTTTCCCTATTTTTTTTGAGTAGTCTCCTGAGCAATGTTTTCTTGTCCTGATAAGACTAAGACAGACTATGTTTTTCTGGCAGAAGTGTCCAGCCTTGTGACACTTCAACATGATGTTGTCATCTACAGAGCTCACATCTCAAGAAAAACTGAAGAACCACATCACAGAGTTGGAAAAAACTAACAACGACAACAACAAAAGACCTTAAAATGCTTTAAATAAGGTTATGATTGTTGTACTGGGCCACATTCATAGCTATCCTTAGCTACTTCTGGTCCTTGAGCAAAAGGCTGGACCACACCTTATTAGTAAACATGAGAAATATCAAATATAAGCGATTTCTCTCTTTCTATCCTCTTGTGTGAAAATAGCACTATGAATTAGATAATAAAGGCAGGGATATAAAGAAAAATTAATGCTAACTAACAGCAATCTCAGAAAAAAGCTGCATGAACTCATCATGAGCCTGGCATTACCGGAGCGTGCAATGCCGCTGTCTCGGTCCTCGTTCAGCTCTCTTCCGGGCATGTCCATCGGGTTGCTATGAACTGTAAATGAAGGCAAAGCTGTCAGTTATAAAAGATGACTCAGGTGGATGTTTCTCCTTTTAAATTCAAACTTGATCATGCGTCATTTCACTGCATCTCTTTTTCAATAGCATGACACTAACCCAACACCAAGAGCTATTACTCAGTTGAACAAGCTTTCAGTATTTAAGATTTGCCATGTCACATGAAAATAATCCAAGATATAGAATCCAGGGGTGACTAAAATTGTATTTTAGGAAGAATTTTAATAACACAGAAAGATATTCCCATTATTAAGTGAAAAAAAAAAGTACTGAACAGCTTGAATGCTGGTGCTGAGGCTAAGTGACAACTACATCCTGGTTCCCTCTACTGATCCTGCCTATGTCAATATTTAGACAGAAGCAAATAAATAAGATTTTAAAACTTTATAATAAAACATTTGAGAAATTTATTTGAATAACATGATACCAATTTTGTTTCTGAAAATGCTGAGGATGTAGCTTACTGACGAGCACTTGCCTTGGTATATATAAAGCCCTCGGTGTGATTCCCCAGTACTGAAAAATAAAATGAAACTACACAAACTGGGTATATCTGTCTGGCAGGACAGTATCTATATTTTTTAACCAAACTTTCTGTATTTTTTCCAAATTTTCTGATAAATATGCATTGCTCCTATCTAACTTCTGCATGTAAAGTAAGTCCTAACCTGGGGCTGGAGAGATGGCTCAGAGGTTAAGAACACTGACTGTTCTTGCAGAAGACCCGGGTTTGAATCCCAGCACCCACATGGCAGCTAACAACTGTCTGTAACTCCAGTTCCAGGGATCCAAGTTCATATAATTAACTGGTTAACTGGTGAATATAAATAAACAGAAAACTGAGCAAGGCCTACAAATTAAAAAAAAAAAAAAAGAGTAAGTCTTAACTAAAACAAGAAATGGAGTGGCAGGGTGTGGGGACACATTTCTGTAGCCCCATCACTCAGAGAGACCTAGGCAGGAGGACTTGGAGTTTATAACTAGCCTGGGCTGTGTAGGGAGATTGATAATGAAGGATAATGAGTTCAACCGCTCATGGATATTTCCACTAGAAGATGAAAGTGCAAGATCGGTATAAATGAGGTATGTAGGCTGATGGGATGAGACTCTAATCCTAGATGCACAGGCATGAACACATATTTTGGAACCATTAATTTAATGATATAAACAATTGTGTTCACAAATCTTTTATAGAGTAAGTAACAGTGCTTGTTCATCTAAATCTTAGCTCCAAGAAAGATTATCCTTGGGGAAGAGTGTAGATCAGATATTTTACAATGATTTTAAGATAGGGTATTTTCAGCAACTGGTGAACTACAATACAAAAGCTACTTAGCTATGGAAACAAGACAGCATGACATTACAAATTACTAAGCTAACCACATACTAAATTTTGCTTTAAAATTCTAAAGTTTAAATTATTATAACATACTAAGGAAAGAAATGACAAATTGTAATTTCATAAAAATATCAATCCTATTAACCACAATCTCCCCAACTTCATTCTCTACTCTCTTGTTTCCACAGCTTAACTACAGGATCTGGCCAATAGGGCACACCAACTAGTCTACCCACACAGCACACAGCAAACCTGCAAAGAAAGAGGCGCTTCTGATCAGGCGGAGCGGACCCTGCTCAGAGAACGCCCGCCTGGGGCTGCAGAACTGTGAAAGACCTACATGGCAAAAATGTAAAATACACAGGAAAGAGGGCTGTTAGAGAAGCCACAATGTGTCAGGGAAACAATGTGAGGTAAGGCAACACAACAGCAGACCCAGAGATAAAGCACAGAAACTTTTAACGCAAGTATGAACAATTTAAATGGTTTTCCCTTTTAGAAAAAGAATGTTTCCCCTTTTGAATATGGCTTATGTCAAATAATAGTTTCATGTCTATTTATGAATAAGCACATTTATTATAATAGACATATATTTCTGTTTTCTGTTATACAAGGTAAAACTGTTTCCAGTGCTCGATCCTTTCTAACATAACTTTTTTTGTTGTTGTCTTTTTGAGACAGGGTCATCCTGTAGCCCCAGACACTTGCTGTATAGACCAGGCTGGCCTGGAACTCACAGAGATCCACCTGCCTCTGTCTCCCGAGTACTGGGATTAAAGGCATGTTCCACCACACCTGGCTTAACATAATTTTTTAATCATTCAAAAGAGCAACATGCCTTTAATCCCAACACTCAGGAGGCAGAGGCAGGTGGATCTCTGTGAGTTCAAGGCCAGCCTGGTCAACCCTGCCTCAAACCGAAAAAAAAAAAAAAAGCAAAAAGCAACATCATCTACATAATTCAACATTTATCAAAAACTCTTCTTTTAAAAAGTCAGGTTTTAGCCAGGCGTGGTGGTGCATGCCCTTAATCCCAGCACTCAGGAGGCAGAGGCAGGTGGATCTCTGTGAGTTCAAGGCCAGCCTGGTCTACATAGTGAGTTCCAGGACAGCTGGGGCTACAGGGAGACCCTGTCTCAAAAAGACCAAAAAAAGAAAAAAAAAAGATTTTACATTGCAGTCTCTACCAGATAGAATAAACACCATCTTACTGCACTCAAAAACAAAGAGCAAATCTGCTAAGGAATCTTATTGACAAATGAGCAAAAAAATTGTCTTTACTAGCCTAGTGATAAGCTACCAGAACAGAAGAAAAAAAAAAAAAAGAAAGAAATCAATGCTCTTAGACCTCCAGTCAGCACTATGAAAGCAAGACCCACAGTAGAGCCCATAAGGCAAGCCTCCCAAGAGTGCAGAAAAAGTAGCCGCCACACATTTGTCTAAGAGATGACAGAGGCCTGTAGACCCAAACAGGTGTTAACTTCTGGAAGCAAGCACCTAGGTTAGCCATTGGTTATATTTACTCATGACAATCATGTAGCAGTTGCATACCCAGAACAGAACGGCTTTCTGCTTTAAAAAGTGGCAGCAACTGTATTTCTCAAACTGCTGAAACTATTCCGCAACAGAGATTTCTGTAACTGTAGCGCATGTGCGGCAATCCTTCCGTCTCAACAGTTAGCTCTTTCTTCAGGTCTCCTGACCTTACTTTCCCTAGCTGTTTCAAAATTTAACCTCCTTGAACTCCTTCCTTACCCAAATTTCTTTACTCAAGGTATGATTTTGGTTCCTATTATATCCACGGGTCACATACAAATTTACAGATTGAAACCATCCTTTTCCTATCACCCTACCTCCAAAGCTACTCAAACTCTCATCCATCCTTGCTTCTTTCCTGTCTAAAAAGAAATAAAGGTAACGTGCAAACCTTATGATATGGTAATGATTTACTTGCTGAATTCTGAAGTTCTTTAACTTCCAAGCTTCAGTCAGCTAGAACCTGGACCCACTACCCTCCCTTAAAAACCTTGCTCTATTGCCGGGCGTGGTGGCACAAGCCTTTAATCCCAGCACTCGAGAGGCAGAGGCAGGGATCTCTGTGAGTTCAAGGCCAGCCTGGTCTACATAGTGAGTTCCAGGACAGCTGGGGCTACAGGGAGACCCTGTCTCAAAAAGACAAAAAACAAAAACAAAAAACCTCCCTCTATCAACCATTTCTATCTACCTTCAACTTCATTCTCCTGATAGTTTCCTTTTACATAAATACCCATGCACAGTCATATCTCTCTAACCTTCCCTCAATATATCTAATCCTACAGCTGTGCAGTTTTCCAAATGTGGTTCAATCTCTCTAACCGTCCCTCAATATATCTAATCCTACAGCTGTGCAGTTTTCCAAATGTGGTTCAAGGATGCCTGGGAGCCTCTAAGACCCTTTCAGGTCAGCAAGGTTCTTCATTTTCCAACTACTTATCCACCTGAGACAAGATTTTCTTGACACATTTCATTCCCAACTGCTTACCTGAATCCATTCTCACTACACTCTTTTGTATATATAAATCAGATCTGATTATATTGCTGGAATCTAAAGTCTTCTGTTGAAGCCTTGAGAGTGTTCCTCAAGATTTCCAACTGTGCTCTGAAATGCATTGCACATTTGGCCCAGGCTACACAGAGTCCATAGCATGTGCCCAGCCAGCGATTAAACACAACAGATACCAAGGTCAGGCCCCCTTTTGGGAGACATGGGACATTTTTAACAACCAGCTTTGACTTTGTAACGGCTTTTCCAAACCTTTCTTCATTAGTACATTATCACAGGTTGGGACACTTAAACCCAATCTTCTGGTCAATTCTCCTTTGCCAGGGGTCAGACATGTATCATCATCTATGGCTCTCAGTCTTTCCCACTACCCTCATTTTCTTTCTCACAGTAATTTCTAATAACAAAAATTTTGCATATTTAATCATGTCATGGCACTTGTTTAAAGAAAAAAAGATGGAAGACTGAAATTAGCATATCATCCCTGGTATGGAATGACACAAAGCAGGAATGGAAATTCATCAGTGTGGCCCAGAGTGCCTACTGCCATGTAGCTCAGTCCTTTCTTCATTCTCTTTCCTTCCACTCTTGCCCCACACACTCTTTTTTTTTTGGTAACATGCTTTAGGGGCTCTTGTCTCTAGATATGGATACACGAAAGACTGAGCTTCTTCCTAGATATTTCTTTTCTCAACCACCTAAATTCTTCAAGCTTAGAAGTCATACACCTCAAGGAAGCCTTCCATGATTCTCCAGGATTGAATTAGTGCTTATTATAATTTTAACAACCTGTTCCTAATTTTGTTCAAGAATTCACTATTATTTTTCTCACTCTCACTAACTACAAATACACTGATGCGGAAGCCATGTATAGCTCACCACTAACTTGTCAGGGCCTACCAGAGTGCTTGGCATATTACAGGTATTTAAGTGTAGAAATATGAGTCATACATCATTTAAACCTGTTTTATTTGTTTGTTTTGTTTGGGGTTTTTTTTGTTTTTTGTTTTTTTTTTTGGTCTTTTTGAGACAGGGTCTCCCTATAGGCCCTGCTGACCTGGAACTCACTATGTAGACCAGGCTGGCCTTGAACTCACAGAGATCCACCTGCATCTACCTCCCGAGTGCTGGGATTAAAGGCATGTGCCACCACACGTGAGGCTTAAAATTTGTAATTTTATTCAACGAATTAAGTTTCTCCTTATTTGAACAGAAAGGAAAAATACATCTAGCCTCCATAATATAACTATAAGGGTTGATTTGTACTGCTAAAATGTGTAGCTCTCAGTACACCCAAGTTTTGAAATTATCAAATTACTTAAAAAGACATTTGATATACTTTTACTTCATTAAAATCAATAATTAATCAAGTGAGCTCAGAAATATTTTTCTCTAAGCAGATATACACTACAAAATGTGCCTAACACTAAGCCCAAGCCCCAGCAGATACTTAATGAATGGCTGTTCGTTTGATTAAACACGAATTACAAAGAATGTTTATTGAGCAGGTTAGTTCAAGCAGGAAGAGAAAACTATGTTTTCCACTAGTACACTTAACTAATGAATATTTGTAAAATTGAGTGCAGCCAGGCATGGTGACAGACACTAATCCCAGCACATGGGAGCAGAAGGCAGGATTCTGAGTTCGCAGTCAGCCTGGGCTACATACAGAGTGCCAGGCCAGAATTTGAGCTGCACAGTTAAGACCTTTCTTCCAAAAAGAGTATGAATAAAAGTTCTTACTAAACAAGGATTATGATCCACTCCCTGACTGATTATAGTTCTTTCAATCATCCTAATTATAACCAAACAGCAATTTAGCTGAGTTTTCCAGACCAGAAATTTCAGAAATGCTTTGTCATTTAATATATTTTATACATTGGCAACAACAGTTAACTAACTAAAGCTGTGATTCTAATAAATTGCTTAAGAATCATCATTTGAATACATGCTCATATGACCTACAGATCATAAAAATGAGCACCATTTTATTTTAATGTGTATTGTTATTGAACTTTTGTGCATTTCATACAAAAGACCATTCTTTATACTCCCGCCCCCATCTGCACCTTGTTAAAACCCCCCACAGCGTATTTCATCCATTCTATCATGTATGTTAAGTTAGTGTGCCCACACTGAGCACCTTTTTAAAATGACTTTTAGGTTAGGGAAGACAGAAGAGGTAAGGTGTAATATCACAGCGACAATATGCAAGAAAGCTGGTAATGGCTTTCAGTACCAATGACAGAGTCTCCTTCAAAGACACACCAAATTGAAAAGCAAAAAACAAGGAAGACAAATGAGATAAATCTGCAGTTCTTTTTCTTAGACACAAAATAAGTATTACATCTTAATGTAAGAAAAGTGTACATCCAAATGATATGTTGCATGTCTGAAATGCAAACAGCTTTTCTACTTACATCATTCAAAATTCTTTGGTTATGGAAGAGAGCTACATAAATAAGAAGTAATTTCATACCTTTTTATATTGTTAACATTCTTAAAATTTATAAAATCAAAATGAACCATTTACCTATATTTCCAAGCAGTCCATTAATAACTGTGTTATCAGTCTTTAATGTATTACTGTCCTGATTGATGAATTCAAGACTGTCTTGCAGTCTATGGAAGGAGAGAAAAAAACAAATTCCAAATTCATTTTATTCTTTTAATGGTAATTCTTTCATATCCCAATGAAATTTTGAGTGTAAAATCCTTTTCCTGTTTGGGGTAAGGAAGAAGACCACCAGAAGCTGGGAAGAGGGCTGGAAAGGTTAACAGGAACAGGGCTGGGGAGGGTAACAGGACTGGGCCTGGGGAGGGTACAGGAGGGTGAACATGTACAAAGTACAATGGTTTATGGTATGAAAATGTCAGAATGAAACCCATTATTTTGGACCCTAAAAAATTTTAAACCCCTTTTAAGTTAAAACTGTTAAGTACCAACAGCATAAACCACAATGATAACTATGTAATCATTTAAGCCAAAGGTTGGTAAACTGTAGCCTGAAGGCCAAGTTCAGCCTACTCTATATTTTTATAAATAAAGTTTTAGGTGAAGAACATCTTATGTCTGTTCATTTATATTGTTTATGGTTGCTTTAATGGTATGATAGAAGTAAACTACAGCACACTGTGTGCGTCACACACAGCAGTCATCAATAAGCACTAACTACCTTTAGTCCATACGTTAAAGTGGTATACATCACTTCTTTCAGTCAATCTTTTAGAACAAAAATAAAATTACTGTTACAGCATAAAGTATCTTCTCTATAAATTTTAAGAATTAACAGTTAGAATCTAGAAAAATGAAGAGTGAGGTGATGTAAAGCCAAAATCAGTGATTTCTAATGTCTATTCAGTATTAAACTAAAAATTAGCATTTGGCAACAGGACTTTTTTTAAGTGTTCGCAATATTTTGAAAAACATCTACCCTTTCCTCTCTTCCTGAAAGAAAAAAATGTACTACAGGTATTAGAAACTTATATACTAAAACGCCTCAAAACAAAAAAAGTTTTAAGTCATTAACAATGAAGGTTCAAGAGAATTTCTCTAGAGTAGGCTCCTTGCCGCTTCCCACTTGTTTAGACCTTTGATCCCCTTGCCAGTGAACTTTGTTCTGACTTGGCACCAGAATCCCAATCACGAAATTCTAACTCAGAACTTTACTAGTGTTGTAGTTCATAGCCTGTTAGTCCCACACCAGGGTTACTCGTTTTTAACTTCATTATTCGAATTTTGGGATGAAAACCTTAGAATATCCTTGCGGCTAGCCCGCATGCTAGATTGTGTGTGTTATAATAGGGGGTTAAATCTTCAGGGATTTGAAAACTGATATAGGTGGGGGCTAGAGAGATGGCTCAGTGATTAAGAACACTGGCTGCGGAGCTGGAGAGATGGCTCAGCAAGCGGTTAAAGAACACTGGTTGTTCTTGCAGAAGAGCCGGGTTCGAATCCCAGCACCCACTTAACAACTGTCTGTAACTCCAGTCCCAGGGGGATCCGACAGCCCCTTCTGACCTCCGAGGGCACTGCACAACATGGGTGCACTTACCTACATTCAGGCAATACACGCAAATGCATAAAATAAAAATAATAAATAAAATTTTAAAAAAAGAATACTGGCTGCCCAGGTTTGATGCATAGAACCCACACGGCAGCTAACAACTGTTTGTAATTCCAGTTCCAGGGGACCTGACACCCTCTTCTGACCTCCACAGGCATTGCACAACACAGGTGCACCTACCCACATGTAGGCAATACACTCATACACATAAAATAAAAATAATAAATTTATATATATAGAGAGAGATAACTCAGCACATAAATGTTATTCTATGATAGAAACGCATTCAACATTTTGCTTCCAGAAACCTTTAAGAAAATTATAGAAACAGAAACCATGCCTATTTTTTCAACTAAATTCAGATAAGGATACAATTCTACTGTCTATAAAATTTCAACTTAAGTAAGATAGAGATCTGAATTTGTGCTATAACTCAAAAAGCAGTTTCTGATGTTCATGTCGTGTACATATCAATGTCCCCCTGCATTCATAAACACTTACGTATTAAGACTTCCACAGATGCTGCTGCCAGTCCGTGCAGTGAAAACTTTGCTAAGTATGAGCTGTGGAGGTGAGCTAGGAAGAAAACAGAATGTCAGAAAGAGATTTAAACTACAATACAGTGACCTTTTGACTTATTGTAAATAAGAATTTGTTAAGTTGTACAGATTTCATTGCATCATAAGAGTTTTAAAGAAGGTCTAAATATAATCACAGACCGAGTGTCTGACATGCTTAATCTGAGAAAAGAATGAAGTCTCTCATCTTCAAAAAAATTAAATACCTAGGGGGCTGGAGAAACAGTGTTTAAGCACTTACTACTCTTACAGAGAACCCAGGTTAGGTTCTCAGCACCCATAACAGGCAGCTCACAATCACCTTCAACTCCAGCTCCAGGGTATCTGAGGTCCTCTCTTGGCCTGCATGGATGCTTGCATGCATGTGATACATATAAACTCACACAGGCACATATACACACACACAATTAAAAGTAAATAAAACTTTGAAAAAAATAAGGAATAAAAACTGAGTATGTGAAAAGAGAATCACTTAAGAACTTGAAACCCTCTCACCGGATCTGATGGATTTTTAAAGTGGATCCTTTGTAACTCATCGCTACTGAGCCAAACATCATCTCTCCAAGCATATTGGCATCAGAAGAGCACCGAGAACCCTGAACAAAAACCAAAGCATTGATGAAATCAAAGAATTTAAAATCTTAACATGATTTCAAGTATTTTTTCTTTAGAAGAATCTTTTGTTAGTTTTTCTAAGGATTTTAATTCTACAAACTGTCCTGCAATTTGGGATTTTCTTTTTCATTTTATACTGTCTTATTTTCATAAATTTAACCATATCACTACACAGAAATTCACCCATTTGTTTAAAAAGCCGCAAAGACACTGATATAGTTAACACCTGTAATCTCAGCTCTACAGAGGCAAAGAATATCCCAAGTTTGAGACCAGGTACATGGGGAGATTCTGACTCATTTCAAAGTGGGGGGGGACTGCAGAGTATTTGCCTACATAAAAAATACCACATTTCAGCAGTTCAGTTCCAGTTACTGAAGAGCATTAAGTCCATTTCTAGGTTTTTGTTATTATTAGTAATACCCAAATCAACATTTCTCCTTTACATTTATTCTGTTTGAGTATATGTGGGTAGGTGTGCACACAGCAAGACAATAGACATCAGCGGGACAACTTTCAGGAGTTGGTTCTCTCCTTCCACCATTCAGGGCTCAGGGACCACACTCAGATCGTAAGGCTAAGTGGTAAGTGCCTTTACCTGCTGAGTCCTACCACCAGCCCCAAATCAATATTTTTAACATTTTACACATATATACAACATAACTCCAGAAGTAACAAGGGCAACCTACTGAACAGACTTCCACAACAACAAAGCAGCATCCAAAAATGGGACAATTTATATCTGTTTTGACTTTTTTTTTTCAAAAGAAAGACTTACTCGTAATCTATAGTTTTAATGACATTTTTTAAAACAGAAAACATTCTAAAATTACATGGAACAGTGAAAGACCACAAATAGCCAAATGACCTTGAAAGAGAACAAAAGTTATCACAAGCTTCCAGATTTCAAAATTTGTTACAAATCTACAGTAATCCAAACAGTATGGTACCAGCAAAAAGACAGACGAACAAGTCAATGGAACAGAATATAGAGACCCAGAAATAAATTCACACTGATACAGTCAACTGATTTTTTTAACATGAGTGCTAAGAATAAACAATAGTGAAAATACAGTCTCTTCAACAAATGCTGCTGGGAAAACTGGATGTTCATACGCTAAAAAGAAAACCAGATTCTTAGACCATATACAAAAATCAGGTCAAAGCAAATTAAAGATTTAAATGTAACAACATAGAAAAAAAATACTCATGACTGGTCTTGGCAATGATTTCCTGGATCACACCAAAAGCAAATGGACAAATGGCCGAATCAAACTAAAGATCCTCTGCAAGCAAAGAAATAACCGAGAGGTAAGAATGACAGAGGCGCTGACACACATCAGCATCTTGGCATGGAGAATTCTGAGGTCAGGGCCAGCTTGAGCGCCAAAGCAAGACCTGTCTCAAAATGATAAATTAAGTGAGCAAAGAGAGGGTGAGCAGGGAACCTACGGAGTGGCAGAAAGTACAAGGAACTCTTACAACACTAAAGCAAACATTGAAATGCACAATTTAAAAAATGGCTAAGGACTCAAATCAACATTTCTTCAAAGAAGACACACAATGTTAAGAGTTGGATAAAAACAAATAAAACACTTGTACTCAACAAGGAAATGCAAATCAAAGTCTTATTACACCTGTCAGATACGTATGTATGTATGTATGTATGTATGTACACACACACCCACACACCACGTACTGTTGAAGAGGTCATAGAGATAAGAATCCAAGCTCTCTGCTGGAGCAAAGGCAAAACAGAATAGCTCCTCTGAAAGACAGCATGACAATTTCTCAAAAAGTACAACTGCCATGTGATTCAGCTACCCCACTTCCAGGAACATAGCAACAGAACTGAAATCAGGATCTCAAAGAGCTAAGAGCACTCCCAAGCACTATTCACTACAGCAGAAATGTAGAAATAATCCTAATAATCTTAAAAAGTCCATTCACGGCCGGGTGTGGTGGCACACACCTTTAACCGCAGCATTCGGGAGGCAGAAGCAGGCGGATCTCTGTGAGTTCAAGGCCAGCCTGGTTTACATAGTGAGTTCCAGGACAGTTGGGGCTACAGAGAGACCCTGCCTCTAAAAAGACCAAGAAGAAGAAGAAGGAAAAAAAAAAAGCCCATTCACAGACGAATGGACGAAGAAAATGAGGCAGATATTATAAAACACATTTTGGCCCCCTAAAGAGACATTTGGCAATACGTATGAGCATAAATGAATCTTAAGGACAGTATGCTAAGTGAAATAAGCCTGTCATACAAAGATACACACTGCACACACTTCACTTATATGAAGTATCCAGAACAGTCAAATTCATGGGAAATGGTGATTCCCAGGGACTGGGGAAAAGTCGGGAAGTTACTAATCAATGGACACTAAGTTTCTACAGTCAAGAAATTCTAATAAACTCTTGACATCTGCTATACAACATCACAACTACTAGAGTCAAAAACAATGCATCACACTAAAAATTTAATTGATACAAATTTTACTTGAAATATCAGAATGTTTTTCTCAAATAATTTTTTTATATAAATGTCACTTCTTTCCATTGTTCCTTTGTGGGGACCTAAAGGCCCCACCTTGCATAGGTCCAAAAGGAAGTTACTGGGGGCGCGGCCTGGATTGCTCTGAAAGTCTGAAGAATACTTCCACACTGCTGAGGAGTGCATGATCAACGCGTTTCCATCCTTAAGATACACCCTCAGGTGGGGAGTGGGGGGATTCCAGGGGCCTTTATAAGCTTTGGAACACTTGCAATAAATGAGTCCCAGCTTGACTAGGCTCCCCGTTGTGTCTGAGTGTCCCCGGGTAATGGGGACGGCGTGGGCTGGTGAACGGCGTGCTTACTCATCCCCAATCCTCACCTCGCCGGGGGTTGGGGGTTCGAGTGCCCAGCATCTGGCGCCCAACGTGGGGCTCGAAGGAAGGTGAAAAGAAGAAAAGAAGTAAGAAAGAAGCAAAAACGGATTGGGGCCAATTGAGGAGGTTCTGGGTAAGCAAGACCCTAAAAATGGGAAATGCAATTTTTAAGTTTCAAGACCTGGCGCTTAAAGCACTGTGAGACATGCTTAAAAGCAGGGGATTGGATTTGTCAGATCCCATAGCTCAAAAGGTTTGGGCAGAGGCTGTTCATTTGGCTCCCTGGCTACTCGGGGCTAATGTTTTTACTGGGGATACATGGGAATCATGGGAAGGGTTTGAGGAAGAAGGCAGAAATGCAACAGAAGTGAAACCAAAAGCAGCCAAGGTAACAAGCGGCACCTTGGGGGTGCCCTGGCCAGCTTCAGGGCTTCCTGAAACCCATGAAAACTGTCCTCATTTCCAGGATTCTGGCCCCGCTCAGGAGGCTTCTGTGAGGCCTCCTATTAATGTAAACCCAGGAGGCACGTGCCCTGACCCCTGGTATCCCTGAGAGGCGAAGGATTTGAAAGAATTAAAAAAGGCGGTGGCTGAGGATGGCCCGGGATCACCCTGGGTAGATACTCTCCTCCAAGGCTTGGCTCATCAGCAGTGTACTACAAAGGATTGGCTGGACCTCGCCAAAGCAGTCCTTCCTAGCCCTATATGTATTAAATGGTGTGCCCTCTTTAAGGAGGAATGCAGGATACAGGCTGAGAGGAACGCAAGTGCCAACCCACTGGTCCCCATTACTTTTGGGATGCTGACTGGTTCAAGTGACTGTTATGCCACAGGGGAGCAACAGTCAGGCATTCCGGCCGCATATACAGAACAGGTCAGGGTCATAGGATTAAATGCTTGGAGAAAATTGGACGGGGGGCCTACTGAATCCCCCCTTGCAGGGATTAATCAAAAGCCTGGTGAACCCCTCTACAAGTTTATAGACAGAGTAGAGAAGAGCTTAAAACGAAAATTACCTCCAGGCCCACTGAGGGAACAATTCACTAAACTCCTGGTATGGGATGGAATGGATGCTGATCACAAGATAGCCTGTGCTGGCCTTAAGGACAGGTCCATGGGACAATGGATAATTGCCTCCAAGGAGGTGGGAACCCAGAGGGGACAAACCAAAGCCACAGCTGCTGTCTTACAGATGCAAACAGAGGCTCTGACCCATGTCCTAACCCAGGCATTTAATTCACTTAATCTGGGACAGCAGGTAACAACAGGGCCTAGAGGAATAGAAGGCCCATGTTTTGTCTGTGGCCAGACTGGCCATATTAAAAGAAATTGTCCTCAGCGAGATAACCGGCCTAAGCCTGGAGGTGGGGTATCAAAAAGACCCCCATCTATGCCCTGTCCCCAGTGTTGCAAAGGGCTCCATTGGCAAAAGGAATATAAATCCAGATTTGATATTGAAGGAAAGCCTTTAAACTAAGTGGGGGGCAGCCTCCATCCCCGTTGACAAAAGAAGGACTTCCCCATGATCGGCTACATTTACAATGCCCTCAGGGAGGGATCCGGAGAGGAGAAAAACCTATGGCAAATTGGACAGTCCCTATTATCCCTGGTGTAAGGCCCAAGATGGATCTTGAAATAGGTGGCAGGAGGTTTCGCTGCCTAGTGGACACGGGGGCTGAAAGAACCATTCTTAGAAAGTAGGAGGTCCCATCGTGATGGCACCTAGTTTCTGGGCCCGGAATCCTAGGTGTGGGAGGATACACCTCATCAGAGGAGACTCGAGAATGGCTCACCTGGCAGGATGCAGATGGAGCTAAAGGGGAGGTGCAACCCCTGGTGGTGGCAGGGTTATCTGCCAACCTCATAGGACAAGATATTTTGGGGGACGCACAGGCCTGCAAAACCACTGATAGCAAGGCCTTTTAGGATGACCTTTTGGATCTTGAAGAGTCTGATAGGCTTCCTGAGTCAGCAACTCAAGGGTTGTCTCGCCATATCAATTACAGGGGGACCCAAAGAAAGAGGATCGGGTTCACCCCCAATTCTAAGGGCCACTGCCCCTCAGGTTCCAGCTATTTGGTGGTCCCCTGGGGCACTGGTATGGGTGGAGCAGTGGCCATTGCCTGATACAAAGCTACAGGAATTGTGCAAGAACAATTACCGTTGGGCCACATCCAGCCTTCTATAAGTCCATGGAACACACCTGTCTTTGTTATTAAGAAAGCCTCTGGCAAATGGAGAATGTTGCAAGATTTGTGTAAAGTCAATGCTAGAATGACCCTAGTGGGTACACCCTTAAGGTGGCTGCCTTGGTTCCCTGCTATTTCCTCAGATTTATTTCTTATAGTTATAGACGTTAAAGATTGTTTTTTTCTCTATCCCTCTACAAAAAAATTTGCTTTCTCTGTACCTTCCACCAACTTTAAAACGCCTGATGAGAGGTATGAATGACTATTTTACCCCAAGGTATGGCCAATAGCCCAGCATTCTGCCAAAGCTATATGAAGACCCTTTTGGGGCTTGCTCACTTGCTACCACATGCCACTGTGTACATTTATATGGATGATATAATCTTGGGAACTCCAAGCCCCCAACAATGAGAAGAGTTATATAAGTTTACTCAAAAATGTCTACAGACAGGTAGACTCCATGTATCTGCTGATAAAATACAGACTATTACTCCCTTTAAAATTCTGGGAACCATACCCTTTTTGGAAGGAGTAAGTCCTTTAAAACCACAACTGGCTGTCAAGCCCACCATAACCCTGACAGAGCTACAAAAATTATTAGGAAAAATTAATTGGCTACGAGCCTGGATGCCTATTCCCACTGAGACTTTTAGACCACTGTTTCAGTTGCTAGTAGGGAAAAGCCTTCAGAACTAATTCACCTGGCTCCTCAACACCTGGACATCTTACATGAGGTCCAGGATGCCCTGGACCAAGCCCAACTTTCCCGGTACATGCCTAGTAAAGATCTTGAGTTATGGGTACTCTCCGGTGAGACCCTGATGACATCCGTCCTTATACAAGGCAGGAAGCCCCTTCAGTGGGTGCATGCCTCTCTGGGAGGCATACCACGGGTTTACACACCCATGGACCAATTGGCTGACCTGATCAAGAAGGGACGTGAGACAGCTCTGAGGCATTATGGCATAGATGCTCTTAAAATTGTCATCCCCTATTGGCTTAGGGATTTTGAATGGCTCTGCAGAAATAATAATCATGTGGCAGCCTATAATGTTTTCACTGACCAGAGCAGATTTGGAGGTGCAGTGATAGTATACCCAGGGGCAGATGAGAAACCAAAAAGATATGTCCACACTTGTGATGGCTCAGCTCAATTCAAGGAACTCATGGCCATTGCTTTAGCATTAACAAAGATAAGTGAGCCCATGAATTTGTTTTCTGACAGTCTGTATGTAGTCAATCTTCTTCCAGGGCTATTAGGTTCTCATATCCGGTTGGATGGGAACCCATTACTCCCTTGATGATTCAGACTCGTACACTCCTTAGAGAGAGAGAAGCCCCTATCTTCTTACAGCATCTTAGGGGGCACCAAGGATTGCCTGGGCTTTTATCCCAAGGCAATGAGGCAATGCAGAGGCAGACAAGGTGGCTTCCACCCAGGGGTTACATAACTTCACTCATGTAAACTGGCAGGGACTCCGTAAGAGGTTTCCTGAAGTTCCCATCAAGGACCTAAAGAAGACTGTACATACAACAGCCAGGGGTAAACCCCAGGGGACTCAAGCCCAATTCCTTATGGCAAACGGATGTCACACACTATGCTCCTTTTGGAAAGCTTATATTTTTGTATCCATTGACACATTCTCACATGCCTGTTGAGCTACCGCTCATACAGGAGAGAAGTCTAAACATGCTCAGTCTCATTTTCTCCAGTGCTTTGCCATGTTGGGATTGCCCCAAATAACTAAAACTGATAATGGACCATGTTTTGTGAGTAAAAATTTACAAGATTTCTTCTCACTTTGGGAAATTCAACACAATACAGGAATTCCCTACAATCCCCAAGGTCATGCCATTATAGAATGCAACCATCAAAACCTAAAAATTCAATTACTAAAACAAAAAGGGGGAATAAGCCCCCACCAACAGTTGGGTATGGCCTTATTCCCTATTATTGTTCTTAATTTTCAAAAAAATCAGTTGGAATCCCGGTTTCAGAAGCATTGGGGACAACAGGAGCAGAGACCTGAGGTACGGGTAAGATGGAAGGACCCCATCACCGGGCAGTGGAAAGGACCAGATCCATTGCTAACCATGGGTCGAGGCTTTGGGTGTGTCTACCCTACAGGGAATTCAAACCCCATATGGGTGCCTGCAAAAAACCTTAAGTGGGTAGGCCAGATAGAAAAAATTCCTCTCTTTACTTGTATCCATCTGAAGTGAAGGACCCAGTTCCTTGACTTCATTGCAGCCTCTTTGACAACTGGCTGATTGACTAAAAGGTTCATGGTCTCAGAAGTATTTCAACTTGTCCTACGCCATGACTTGCTTTGTTTCTCTTGATAATGCTTATCTTTAAGTGTCTTTACCAGATAATTCGGCGACAGAGGACCCTTGGAACTGCCATGGCCCACCTCCTCATGATTACGGACTTCCCCAGGACCCCCTCCGGTTGCCCACACTTGGCTAACCTAACCGAGTTAGGTAGAGACTAAGACTGTCACGGGCTGGCATTACCCATGCGGCTACCCTTAATCATGATGCATTTTTAGCCAAGGATGGGTAAGATGTCCCATGACAAGTACTCCTAAGGACATGCACATGGCCAGGTGCATGGTCCAATGATGGGCAATGCTTGATCAGAGGTGACACAACCTAAGACAGGCAAAAATTAGAGGAAGGCGATAGCCATCTCTCCTCAGGGAGCTGTCTATGAGGTGGGTAACTGGTGAAATAAAGTCAGTCTGGCCTTACAATAACAATAAAAAGGGGGATATGTGGGGACCTAAAGGCCCCACCTTGCATAGGTCTGAAAGGAAGTTACTGGGGGCGCGGCCTGGCTTGCTTTGAAAGTCTGAAGAATACTTCCACACTGCTGAGGAGTGCATGATCAGTGCGTGACCATCCTTAAGATACACCCTCGGCGGCGGGGGGGGGGGGGGAGTTCAGGTGCCTTTATAAGCTTTGGAACACTTGCAATAAATGAGTCCCAGCTTGACTAGGCTCCCCATTGTATCTGAGTGTCCCCGGGTAATGGGGGTGGCGTCGGCTGGTGAACGGCATGCTTACTCGTCCCCAATCCTCACCTCGCTGGGGATGGCGGGTTCGAGTCCCCGGCAGTTCCTTAATTGTGTTCACCAGAATCATAGTATAACTAAAAATCAAACATCCATTTATGTATCTACACACCATGGCAAATATTACTTATTAAAGTACTTATTCTCTTACTTGTTTTGAGGCACCAATGTGCCCAACTGCAAAGAACGCCATTTCACAATCTCATGGGAAGATAGGAGAGACACACTCACTGATGCAGACTGGCCTAATAGCTGGAACAGTTTTCAGAAACTATGCACTTACACGCATTTCACACAGCTGGTCAATGAGATACAGACAGAAGTCACAAAATGGAGATTCAATTTTATGAACATAAGGCAACAAGAACATATTATCTCTGATGAAGTTGAAAGTCCAGGAAACCCTGGACTCTGAGACATCTTTAAGCCTACAAATTCCAGGTATAACTCCAGATGGGTCATGTGAGGAAGACATCCATAACTTGTAATAATCTTTACTTACTGTTACAGTTATTGAGGTCATCCATTTCACTGACTGTTTTATTATATAATTGGTTGAGAATTTCATGGAAACACTAATAAAGTCATTTAATTTCATATTAAAGTTCTCTTTGCCTACCATAACATATACAAAATGAACATCATAGATATTGTGACATGTTTTAATGTGAAAATCCACAATAAAGACCATATAATTAAGAAAGTGCAGCTGGGTGTGATGGTGCACACCTTTAGTCCCAGCATTTGGGAAGCAGAGTCAGGCAGATTTCTATGAGATTGGGGCCAGCCTAGTCTACATAGCAAGTTCCAGGCCAGCTGGAGCTATAGGGACACCTGTTTCAAGAAAAAAAAATTTAAATAAATAAACAAGTGCTACTATCACTGCTGCCTTTTCAATGCTTTATTTAAAAGATCTATTTACTCCAAGTTCTCACTGCTGGGAGATTAATTCAAAGATAATGTTCTAGTTACTTGAAATCACATTTTATCTAGCATACCAAGTATAACTAAATGCTTTTTGCTTAAAAAAAAAAAAAGAAAAAACCAAAAAGCAAATATTGGGATTCTGATACAAAATGAGTCTATGCACCTATGCTGTGCAATGCCTGCAGAGGTCAGAAGATGACATCAGATACCCTGAAACTGGAGTTACAGATGGCTATTCATTGCTATATGGGTGTTGGGATTTGAACCCAGGTCCTCTCTAAGAGCAGTCAGTACTCTTAACTGCTGATCCCTCTCTCCAATCCCTTATTTAGATCTTTTTGAGGCAGGGGTCTCAAAAAGCTGTAGCTCCAGCTGGCCAGGAATTTGCTGGGTAGACTAGGCTGGCCTGCATCTCACAGAGATCCTGCCTCTGCCTCCCAATTGTTGGGACAAAAGGCTGTGCCACCATGCCTGGCCTTCTATTATTATTATTATTTATTTGTTTGTTTGTCTGTCTTTTTGAGACAGGATCTCCCTGTAGCCTCAGCTGTCCTGGAACTCACTATGTAGACCAGGATGGCCTTGAACTCACAGAGATCTGCCTGCCTCTGCCTCCCGAGTGCTGGAATTAAAGGCGTGCACCACCACGCCTGGCTTAAATTTATATTTTAATAGTAAGGCACATGAAATAAATTATTCTGGGCACTCAAATATGAACACAGAAAAAGAGACAATATGGCTGTACTCTAAGCTTAAGATTTTCAAAACTCATAAACTTATTTGTTTAACTAATTTATCTTTACATCCACAATGTATGCTCCAGAAGGCATAGCTAATTGTTATTATACCTGTGGTCCCTATGGCGGTGCTCAAAACTATTTGTAAATGAGTAAATAAATCAGTGGTCTTACCTGATACTTGGGACACTGGTCTTTGACGTCAGAAGATAAAGTGATAGAACTATCCAAAGAAGATGAACTGTCTCCTCCAGGCTTTAGTTGGCAGCATTTCCCAAAGACTTTAACTTGAGCATCACTACAGAGCTTCTGAAATACAGACAGTATTCCCATTTACATTCCAGTAATTTTTCACCATATACAAACTTAAAAGCAGTATAAAAATTTTTAGAAAAAAACAAGGATGAAATAACTGGAAAGAATAACTTTAATATAATTTGGTACTCATTTTGCTCTATTTCCTCCAGTACTGTTTTGTAAACTTTGGTCGACAGATGTAACAACATTTGTGGCCTTAGCAGTGCACTGTTCTCACCAACATCGTTAAACCACAGGTATTTTCCACATTACATGGTCTACATTATATTCACTAATACAGACTTGGTAATCTATGGCAATTTTCAAATTATTTGGCCTCAAAATTCCTTCATGCTCTTACAAATTATTGAGAATCTCAAGTTAACAAATTGTATTGTTATAAAATAGTCGGGGGCTGGAGAGATGGCTCAGTGGTTAAGAACACTGGCTGTTCTTGCAGAAGACCTGGGTTCAAACCCCAGCACCTGCATGGCAGCTAACAACTATCCGTAACTCCAGTCCCAGGGGATCCAACAGCCTCTTTTGTCCTCCACGGGCATTGCACAGCACAGGTGCACTTACCTACACACAGGCAATACACACATACACATAACATAAAAATAATAAAAATTTTTTTTAAAGTTTTAAAAAAAATATTGTGTCAGGGCTGGTGAGATGGCTCAGTGAGTAGCAGTGCCTGCTGCCAAGCCTGATGACATTAGTTTAATTAATCCCCAGAACCTACACAGTGGAAAGAGAGAACTGACTCCTACAGATCTACACACATACAATAAAATAAAATGCAATAAAAATTTTAATTAATTAATGTTGGGTAAAGACTGTGAAAGTATGCAAGTAAAGAAAAAGGATGAGAGAGAAAAAAATCATGAGAAGAGAATAATGAAACATCAGCCCAGAAGATGGGCAGGGGGCTTAAAAAACCAGCACGAATCAAGATTTACAGGGCTGTTAAGATGAGGAAAGAAACAACAAACAAAAATAAGACTGCTAGCTGAGCGTGGTGGCGCACACCTGTAGTCCCAGCACTCGGGAGGCAGAGGCAGGTGGATCTCTGTGAGATCAAGACCAGCCTGGTCTACATAGTGAGTTCCAGGCCAGCTTGGGCTACAGGGAGACCCTGTTTCAAAAAGACTGCTGAATAGACATAAAATGAACAACATTAATCAAGGTAAACAGTAAAGCCGGGCATGGTGGCTCATGCCTTTAGTCCCAGCACTCTGGAGACAGAGACAGGTGGAGCACTGTGAGTTCAAGGCCAGCCTGGTCTACATAGTGAGTTATAGGTCAGCTGGTGCTACAGGGAGACCCTGTCTCAAAAACAGACCAAGACCAAAAAAAAAAAAAAAAAAAGATGAACAGTATAAACAGAGATCAGGCCCAATGATTTAGTAGAATACTACCAATCATAAAGAAACCCCCCAGTTTTTTTAATGTTTGATTAAAAAAAAAATCAAGATTATTGGTTAAAACACAAAGAAGGCATGCTCATCCCAACTACAGTTGCTTAGATTTCAACTGTCTTGATCATCTCCAATTCTATGGCTATTCAAACCAAAATACTACATTTATCGAGCATTTCTTCTTCCTCTTCACCATATTCAACTACTCTCTCTGAAGTAATGAAGGTGACTTTTTAAAATTCAAGTCAGGTATCTTCACAGGCTTCCCTTTGCATTTAGGACATAATCTAAACATTTAACCCAGACCCCCTAAGGCCTTGCGTAGTCTGGCCTGTCTCATCTCTGGTGGCTTCACCCTAGCTACTTTCCACACTACTATCACTCCAGCCGAGCTGAGCTTCTCTTATTTCCTTACTTTACTAAGCTCCTCAACCACTTTGCAGACTTTACATTTGCCAGTACTGCTACCAGAAATACCCATCCCTAATTCCACACCTTTCATTTCTTCAGATTTGTTTTAATTATACTTTTTAAGTAAGGCCCTCCATAAGGGGCCAAGAGTCAAGTTGATAAAAAACTTGATCCCTTACTATTGGCATCTTGTATTTTATAAGCTTCTTTCACATTATTTAATGATTTAGAATTATGTGTATGTTTATTTGTTCAGTATCTACCTGTCCTAATAGATGTCTAATTGTAGATACCAAGAGGACAGAGACTGCTAAATCGCCAAGTGCCTAATATTTTATAAACACTTAAGTAATCTATGCAAACGCTTTTTCTTCAAGTCTGGGAAGGGATAAGCAAGGTCTTTAGAAGCCTGAAGATTTTTAGTGATTAGAGGAACACTGTAAAGCCTGAAAGGAGTTGAACATCTTTTATGTGGCACTGTGGTGGATATTAAAAATGCATTTATAGGAAGGAAGCAGAACAAGACCAACACATCCAAGTTTTTCTCAAAAGACAAAAAATTTCAAATATAGCCAATTCTCAAAAAAAAAAAAAAAAGATCATCAATAGAAAATTCAACTAAGATGAAAAATTTCTCCAAAGTATTTTGGTTTCAATTAACGACTGAAATGTTAGCAGAAGATGACACCCTAAGTAAGGAAGAGGATGGAAAACACTCCAGACCTCTATTTCCCAATTCCTGGCCCAAGAGACTGTATCGTTACATCTTAAAGTGTAACAGCAGTAGCAACAGCTAGGTTCTCTTGGCTAACCATGCGAATGACCTACTGACTATGACTGCTAAGCTGGTCACAATGTATTTCAAAATATGGTGTTGAAAGTTTACAGAAAAGAGGTTCCAGCCTCTGCTCAGAGCAGGGGAAAGTATGTTCTCAAGACTGGAGAACTTTCTTTTATACCATCAGATAAATATTTTCACTTCTCTAGTCTCATGTTCCACAATTGCAAAATGAAAGGTATAGACTAGATACTTTATATGGCTCCCAGCACCTCAGGTCAAGTCTAACATCACAATCACATAAGGGAATAAATCTCAAACAAAAACAGCTTCTGGGCTAGATTAATAAGTAGCGCAAGCGCTTAAAAAAATTTCTCAAAATTAGGACTCTGAATTTTTTTAAATTATTTTATTTATTATTTTTATTTTATGTGTATGAGTAATAATTGCCTGCATGTGTGTAAGTGCACCCATGTCATGCAATCCCTGCGAAGACCAGAACTGGAGTTACAGATGGTTGTTAGCCATCATGTGGGGGCTGGGAATCAAACCTGAGTCCTCTGCAAAAGCAGTCAGTGCTCTTAACCGCTGAGACATCTCTCCAGCCATGGGAATGTTTTATACTAACAAAGATACCATAGTTGAAACCATAATTTCTTAAATTACTGAGAGACCCAGTATTAAACTGCAAACAACAACACGATGCTCACTGATACTGATGAGTCCTCACTTTTCCTCGGAACACTGGAGTCAAACAATACATTTCTCCCTCGTCTTTCACAGTCTTGATAAATGATCAGTCGAATTTGGCTTGGGTCAAACTCTGGCAAGGGCCAGCTTGAAGAAAAAAAGAAAAATTTCAGAGTTAAATAAATATTCCATATATATTCTTATAACTAAAATATTATCCAACAGAGCCAAAAACTATATCATCACTGAAGAACATATGGTGATCTTTACATAAAATATTACTATTTAAGGCTAAAAAGTTACACAGGTATGGCCTTTTACATTAAAATGTAAAACTACTATTGTCAATACATAAAATATAGCCAATCTGTACAGAGAGTTAACTGAATAAGCGTATATAAGCACAACTTACTAATAAAAATATGTTGATTTCATGCGTAAATGATACGGTTAACTCATATTTTAAAAATAAAATTATTTTTTTTCAGTATGAAATGAAAAAACAAAACTTTTTAGTTAAACAACAATGAAAGACTTATAAGACATTAACAAGTTAAGAAAACAGCAATCAATTATGATAGAATTTCATATGATGTGAACAAAAAAATTAGTACCATCTCCTTAGCAAACAGTACATACAAAGCAAACAGACACACAGAGATGCAGAATCTAGGAAAAATGAAGTAAGTCCCAGAAATCCCATTCCACAAAAGTTTGCCACCATAGACAATGTTCACAGTAGCACTATTCTTTTAAATATTTTCTTTATTATTTTTATTTTTGTGTATAAGTATATTGCCTGTGTGTGTTAAGTATACTTGGGTCATGCAATACCTGTGGAGGTCAGAAGAGGGCATCAGATCCCCTGAAACTGGAGTTACAGATTGTTAGCCACATGTGGGTGCTAGGATTTGAACCTGGGTCCTCTGCAAGAGCACTCAGTGTTCTTAACCACTGAGCCATCTCTCCAGCCCCAGTAGCACTATTCTCTTTTTGGTCTTTTTGAGACAGGGTCTCCCTGTAGTCCCAGCTGGCCTGGAATTCACTATGTAGACCAGGCTGGCCATGAACTCACAGAGATCTGCCTGCCTCTACCTCCCAAGTGCTAGGACTACAGGTGTGTGCCACCACACCCAACAGTAGCACAATTCTTAACAGTTAAAAGATAAAAGCAATGAAAATGTTCACTGAACAGGGGCTGGAAAGATGGCTCAGTGGTTAAGAACACTGGTTGTTCTTGCAGAAGGCCAGGGTTTGAATCCCAGCACCCATATGGCAGCTAACAACGGTCTGTAACTCCAGTCCCAGGGGATTCGACAGCCTCTTCTGTCCTCTGTGGGCACTGCACAACACGGGTGCACTTGCCTACATGCAGGCAATACACATATACACATAAAATAAAAATAAAATTTTTTTAAAAAGTTAAAAAAAGAAAATGTTCATCGACAGTAGAATGGTTAAATACTACATAATAAATACAAAACAATGTCAATTGTAGGCCAAAACAGGGACATAGTTAGCAAAGTAGACACAATAAAAGCTAGTGCAGTTTCTATTTGCCTAAAGGTTAAAACCAGGTACCATTCAGTCTGAGAATACATAGCTAGTTTTTTAAATTAAAGAAAAGGAAAGGAAAAATAGGCTGCAGGCAGTAATCTAATTATGCCCAGCCCATTGTCCTCTTTCAGTGCACTCCATAAACTTTAGAAAGACAAAGGAGGAGGGGAGGGAACTGATACCCTTAAAGTTTAGAGAGTGGCTAGCTCAAGGAGCCAGTAAAAGTGCACCAGGAAGGGACATACCAGGTGGACTTGGGGCGATAATTATGCTGTATATTTTAGTGTTGATATTAGACAGTGCTTATGTAGATCTTTCACTCATAGCATATAATTTTAAAAATCATAGCACATTTCTTTTATGGACTTCTATACATGCATTAAATCTTACAATTTAAAGATTAATATCTGTGTTAGAGATCGATGGAAGTCTTTCCCTAGACACACACACATGCCAAACCAGACATCCATCCTTACATAACACTGACTTACACTGAATTACTTTCGTAGAATAATACACTACGAAAAAGCAGGCCAACATAGGATGAAAATCAAAGCGATCTCACAGAAACCAATACAGAAAAAATGTTCTAGAGAAAAAAATACAGTGGCAATCACTAAAAAGCATTCTCTAGCTTTGGAAACAAGTCACTAGTGGCCACAGTAAGAACATTCTAAAGTGTAAAGAGAACAGAAGTCAGGCTGTAGAAAACTGAAGAGAGAAAAGCAGAAAAAACAGGTAAGTGTCAAGGAAAGGAGTGAACAGTGACAGGTATTTTGTTATTAAGAAAGGCACATCTTGGGGCTGAAGAGCTGGATCAGTGGTTAAGAGCACTGGCGGCTCTTGCAGAGGACCTGGGTTCAAATCTCAGCACCCACATGGTGGCTAACAACTGTTCGTAACTCCAGTTCCAGGGAATTTGATGCCTTCTTCTGTCCTCCATGGGCATTGTATGACATGGATGGACTTACACACATGTAGGCAAAACATTCATATACATAAAATAAAAACAAACACATCAAAAAAAATTTTTTTAAAGAAGAAAGGTACATCTTGGGACTAAAGAGATGGCTCAGCAGTTAAGAGCACTGGCTGCTCTTGCAGAGGACCTGGATTTGATTTCCAGCACCAATATGGTGGCAAGCTGTCCATAACTTCAGCTCCAGGGGATCTGATGCCCTCTTCTGACCTCTGCGGGCATTACACTACACGGGTGCACTTACACACATGCATGCAAAATATTCACACACATAAAAAGAAATAAAAAATATTTAAAAACTAAAAAAAAAAAAGACATCTGAACATGTTTACATACTAATTCAGACTTTGAGGGGAATGGGAAAAAAATTCAGACCTCTGAAGAAACAGAGGAGAGATTAGAGTACTGGTCTCAGTCATTTAGCTAGTACCAACTTCAAAACAAAAAGTAACTCTTAGTTGGGCACTTGCCTTTAATCCCAGCACTTGGGAGGCAGAGGCAAGTGGATCTCTGTGAGTTCAAGGTCAACCTGGTCTACATAGTGAATTCCAGGCTAGCTGTGGTTACAAGGAGACCCGGTCTCGAAAAGATCAAAAAAAGTAACTCTTGTATTAGAATGGAAAGGATGGACACAATAGATATTTGTGGTACAGGGTGTTAAAAAAAAAAAAGCGCAGTGCTTGTTGGAAAGAAATTACAGTGACTAGGAATGGTAAGATTTCTGAGCAATGCTGTAAGCCTCTGCAAGGTTGAAGATTATAACAACAGAACTGGCCACAAACTACTCAGGTGATTTTTCTTTTGACAGGCACTCCAGGTGCTTGAATCTGGATCAGACAGAGATAAAGGATATTGATAGATAAATGTCAAGAGAGATAAGAAAGAAAAAAACAGACCCTGAAGATGGAACAGAAAACTGAAAGAATACAGCTGAAATGAAGGATCTCCACGTGGATCCTGGACGACGTAAAGTAGGAAAGGTAGTTAAGAGAAGTGAGAACAGTGAGAAGTGGAGGCAGAACAGTCAAAGTGCTAAAAAGGGATGAGAGGAAGATGGGTACAGACAGCATCAGAGAGGAAGAGCAAGCCTGTGGTACAGTGCTGTTAAGAAGCCAAGGAAGGTGATGGGAGGAGAAGTACACAGAAGCCCAGTCTGCAGAAAGGCTCAACTTCATAAAGACTAGAAGTACCCATGAAATTCAGACTTTGATGGGCTTGGTACTCTTCCTGGGGAATCGTCAAATAACAATGCACTGAAAAGAGCTGAGTAAACAAGGTAACAAGTATATAAAATTCTAAGGTTTACCTGTGAAAAAGATACAGGAAATAAATAACTGAATGTAAGTTTTGAAATAAAATGCAAGCCTAAACAGTTGATAAGAAATTGGATTTATCTTGAACAACTCAGACATAAGGTAACTCCGAAGTACACAGAAAAGGTGAGGCTGTGAGGCTTTTCTCTTAAAAGACAAAGGTATGTGGCTATGAAATTACAGAACTGTATAAAGAAGAAGAGTACATATTTAAGATTTATTTCTCTACAGTAAGAGGATGGAACAGAAAAAGAGTTTAATGGAAGGTAGAGGAAAACGGTGAAATAATGTTCCAGAAAGTTACGAGCACCCAAAGCAGTGAGACCTCCAATGAACAGAAGACTATATTTAAAGAGATCAGGGGTAGAAATAACCTATAAATGAAAATTATAGATGGGCGTGCAGGTGGCAGGAATACAATGCAGCACTGAAATGTGACTGTTTCTGTTTTATCTACAAAGTAGACATATTTAGATGCATATATGAGGTGGGTGGCCTACACCAGAATAAAGGGCTTAAGGTATAAAAGTCTAATGAAACTGTGAAAGAAAATGGGGAACATGCTAACGCAAGAATGCAGAGGTACAGTGAGGTCACAGAGAAGGCACAGCTGAATCAGGAGCTTGAGGCCAGCGGAGATCCACAATGAGTCCTAACTTTCCAAAGATACGACGGAAAAGTGACAGCAAGAAAGCAGCCAGAATGGAGCGGACAGAACAAAGCAAACAAGCCGTAGTCTCCTTTGACTGCTCACGCAGTTTCACTACTCCCAATTCTCTTTACATAATAATGGAAATTAACTGTAAATTCTGAAATCTATAGATACATGAAATCGACTAAAAATTTTAGTCAAAAGTTTCCTAATTACATTTGAACCACACTAGAACATGTTAGAAAATAGTATCTCCCAAAGGCACCTTTAATATGAAAACAAGTTTAAATGTTAACAATCACTCAAAATGTATTCATTTCATTAAGGAATGAAAGTGGTAAAAGAAAAGCAACGGTTAAAATTACCTACCTGAAGTTACTGCTCTAGACAGAACTCCCCATATAATAATGCCTGTGCTGCGCCCCCTGCCCCTGCCCCCGTACTGTGATCACCAGAATTCACTTGTGCTCAGCACTCAAATTGTTTAGAATGGTCTCTCACTGTACTAGAACCTAAGCCTTCTGACATCTAAGCCAAATGATTTCCAATCCATTATGCTGCTTTTTTGTTTGTTTTTTGTCTTTTTGAGACAGGGTCTCCCTGTAGTCCCAGCTGACCTGGAACTCACTATGTAGACCAGGCTGGC